CCCCAAAACCCCAAAACCCCAGTGTCTTAGAATATAAAAGATTTATTCAAATTAAATTTAATTAAAGAAAATCTCTCAATGAATATAATTAATAAATCACTTTAATTTCAAATCTATAATGATCAAGTATAATTCTTATTTGTAAAACACATCATTGCTGGTGATTAATCAATATCAAAAGCATTATTTTTATTCGCTTAATCATTCGAATAGCTCTCCTCATATATTTCCTCTCCTTCCTTAAGTTCATTGGAGTTTTCTATTGAGCTTTTACTGATTAGTTTTTAGTATGTCATCACATCTTGCTCAAATCTTTCTTCATCCAGTTTATTCATTTTGTTGTATTTTTACAAGGACTCAATATCTATATTTTTCCAAGCCTCTGAAAGCATTCTAAATCTATCACGAGGATTTTTTACTTTTTTAAATTCTTCACTAGTTAACATATCTTAGCAGAAAAACTGATAAGCAGATCTTTATTTTTTATATGGTATCAGTCTAGATTTAATTTCAAGTTTTCTCTTGTCAAGTTAAAATTCAAGATGCTCTAATTGTTTCTTTGGATACTCTGATGCTAATTCCTTATGCTCCTTTTAAAACAAACCTTTTTCTTCTAATTCTAACTTATTCCATCAATTTCCAATTATTTTGTTTATGTCTTTAGCAGCTAAATCAGGAAATTCTTTTTTTATACCTTGAAACTATACCTTGCAAAAAGAAATAAAAGGGTTACAAGGCCTTTTATAGAGTTTATCTTCCTTTTTGATTTTCATGCATTTACGTATTTAACCTACATGCTTTGATTCTAAATAGAACTAGGGATCGTTAGCATTAATCTTATTATTTTCATTTGCATCATTGTCTAATAGTCCAAACTCGTCGTCACTGTCGAAGTTAGACTAACTCTGGTCATTTTCTTAACTCTTAAAAAACTCCAGTTTTTCTTGATTATACCTAATGGAGTCAGTAATAGCCTGTTATTCATATTTCAATCTTTTCTCTTTTTCAAGAATTTACCATTCCTATTTTATTATAATTATTTATTAGTACCTTAGAAAGCTATTTTATGAGGTCTCTGTACTTTATATCCTAATTTTACCCCTTTGCCTTTTCTAATTTGTCTTTTAGATAAAAGTTATATGCAGTTCTGTTTTATTTAGGAGCAAAAGGATGTTTCACATATTTCTTCTTTTTTTCTTTCTCCTTTTTATCTTTCTTTCTTTGTCATCACCTCTTGATAATTTTTTTATCTTTATTTTCCCATTCCATTATAATGTCCTAATCTTAATCAGAACTTGAACTTGAAATCAAATCTTTTGACTCTTCCTCAATTATAGTTTACATCATTTTATTTATAAATTTAAAAATAAGAATTTGTTCGATTAATTCAGATTTATCTAGTTTGATGGGGTTTTGGGGTTTTGGGG